GTGTCTGTGAAATCAACACACAGTCTGTTGTTGTAGCGACGGAGCCTGCGCGCCCATGGAATGGTGCAGGGCAAGGAGGGAAACGGAAAGCCTCCGCTGGTAAGAAGCTCTTGTGAGCTGTGGTGTGGGTACCTGCCTCTAAATAGGGCTGCGTGAAGGGCAGTGTGTGTGAGGGAGGGGAGAGGAAAGGGCATGGCAGTTCTGTGCTGACTGCAGAAAGGCACAACATTGGAGCAGCGGAAAGGCAACTTGAAGAACTGCTCTCGAAGACCAGAAGTTTGTGGTTGGCTGTGCTCAAACCTTCCTGCACAGAGAGCTCTTCACGTCTTTGTTGTCTCCTTTCTGTCAGAAGCTGATGCAAGCTGCCTTCCAGCAAAGCGCAGCCATGTGGAAAGCCAGGGGAGGAGCACAGAGTGTGGCACAGCACCCAAGAGAGGTACAGACGCACAACAGGCGTCTGGGTTTGGTGCACTGCATTTCTAGTTAGGCTTTCTGCCTGTTCTTTCCTGGGACTGATCTCATTGCGTGTTGCTTTGGGTCTTAATCCCTGGGCTTTGCAGTTACCTTTCCTGTTCTGATTTGTAATGGGAACCCAACGTTCACCCGACATCCCTTACCGTGAACATGGTACGGGAGCTGGCATTGAGCCTTTGGGATTTTCTTGCTTTTCCCAGCAGTGACGGATGTGCCGGAGGACATCACGGACATTCAGGGTTTGCTCTCTTGGATCAATGGTGAGTTTGGGGGCTGCAGAGCCCAGAGGCACATTTTTGCACCGAGTGAGTGTGGGAAGGTTATCATCACCATTCTGAGGGATGTTCTTGCTTTTCCAGAGGTGGCAAGAGCTGTGGAGGTCCCCCATGAGAAGCGCAGCAGCCCTATCCCAGAACGCGTCATTGCTGAGCTCCCAGACGAGTCCAGGGACAGCAGAGAGCTCAGCACGGAGGCACAGGCTGCCACCGGGACCCCCACTGACCCCTTCTGGGGGCTTCCACCATCCCCTGGGTTCCTGCCTGAGCTGCAGTGTGGGTTGTCGCGGCTGCACCCCGTCATGCCACCAGCAAGTGCCCGGCTCAGCCCACGGCCGACCACCCTGGCTGTCAGCACACCTCCCAAAGCAGCCCAAAGCACACAGCCCATCAAGGAGGTGCAGCACAGGCAGCCCCAGGAGGTTCCGGCAGAAAAGAAGAACAGGGGCAGCACCAAGCCGCCGTGCAAAGAAAGAAGAGAAAGACAAGGCCGCAAACACCTGGGCCAAGGGAAGCTGTGTGGGGCCAGCGCAGGATCCAGCGGCAGCGGGCAAGCGGGCACTGCCAGCGAGCTGCGCGTGCACTTGTGCGAATCCATCTGGGCCGTGCACCCACTGGGGCAGAGGGTGACTGTGGTGGGGCCGGTGCGCCAGCCACCCTCTGTGCAGCCCCAGCCTACGGCCGGCGCTGGCCCCGCCGCCCCCCGGCCCCAAGCTGGCGGCACGGACCGGGCAGCGCCGGCACCTGCAGGCGGCACGGCACGAGAAGAGGGCACCGCCAAGAAGACGGCGCCGAGCTGCCCGCCCCCATCCTTGCGCAGGAGCTCACCGCCGCCGAGGGACCCACCGTCACAGTGGCACAAATCGCAGCCTCGGTCGCAGCGCCCCATGGAATTTGTGCCCTGCGTGGGGCCCCGGCTGCGTGGCGGCGCGGCACCCACAGCGCTGGAGGAGTTGCTGCCCATCACAGCCGAGCAGCGGCCCGAGCGGGAGCGCGTGAAGAAGCTGGCCCAGGAGGAGCGGCAGCGGGTGGCCCGGCAGATGAAGATCGGCCCCGTGCAGTTCCT